GTGACCTCACTTCTCCCACGAGTGGATGAGGGTTAATTTTATGGCTCGTCTACAATTACTAGCAACTGATGGTATGAAACCCCATTTCTCCCATGCTGTCCTTGTTTGTTTTCTACTGCTGAGAGAAAGGCCGTGACCACGTGACTAGAAGTAACTTGGGGAGGAGAGAGTTAATTATAGCTTACAGATGGAGGAAGTCAGGGGAGGCCACAAAGGACTGCTGCTTACTCATTTGCTCTCTGGCTTGCCCACTTTGCTTTCCTATACAACCTAGGACCACCTGCAGGGAGGAGACCACCCGCAGTGGGCTCATCTGCCCACAGTAATCATCAATCAGGAAAATGCCCCACAGACATGCTCACAGGTCAGTCTGATGAATGCAATTCTTCAATTGCGGTTCCCTCTTCCCACATTACTCTACTTTGTGTCAAGCTGACAAACAAAACAAAAAGCTTACCAGCACACCCACCCAAACGACTATGAAAGACATGCAAAAATAAATGCTTCCCAGGGATACAAGGCACTATAAGAAGTCCTGGCTGGGTCTAGTGAGAAAGAGTATCTGCAACCTGTTATGCACTTTTATCCATCACATCAACACCACCTTGGAGACAAAAACCTGAGACAAGGATTCCCACCCCACACATACACACGGGCAAGTTGTATGGGAAACTTTGAAACTAACGGTGCTGAGGCCACACTCAGAATGTATGACACAGAAATTGCTGAAGATGTTACGGTCAAGAGCCTGTTTGAAGAGGTCTTTAGGGGCGAGCGACATAGCTCAGAGGATAACGGTGTTTGCCACCAACACTGATGATCTGAGTTCCATCCCTGGTATCTACACAGTGGAAGGAGAAAATGAACTCCCACAAGTGGTCCTCTGACCCCCACACACATGTACACACATATAAACAAACATACAAACGAATGTAATAAAAGGTCCTTCGGTGTTTTGTGTGCAACCAAGGCTGAGCGTTAGTGGTTCTGTAACTCGAGTGTGTATCAGCATCACCAGGAAGTGATGGTAAAACACAGATCTCTGGATGCCAGCCCCAGAGGAGCTAATTCAGCTGAATGACGTCTAAAACGCTGTGCCTCTAACGGGCTCAAGTCATGCCAAAGCTGCTGGTCCAAAGAACACACTGGGAAAGTGAAGGCCCACCTCTAGAGTACCGGTTCTCAGCCTTGACTGCACATTAGACGTATGGAGGGTACATGTTAAGAATATTAATACGTCATGTCCAAAAGCAGAGGAATTGATAAAGGCTATACAACTGAATGTTTTCAACCATACATAAGAATACTTTATAGTTTGCAGGCAGATGAATGTTAGGCAGATTAAGCCTGTCTCAGAAAGACAAATACCATATTTTCTCTCATCTGTGGTTCATAGATTTGAAATATACATCTATGACCTAAGAGTAGAATCGAAAACTCTAGGTGATCCAAGGGGATGAACGTGAATGGAGTAAGGAGGTTTTGCAGGAAAGAGATGGCCAGCATACAAATATAGTTTTGAATGAAGATGTCCGGATGTAATGGTATCATGTGCACTGCATAAGGACAAACCGTTGTTAAAGAAATCTCTAAGAGCAACAGCCTAGAGAAAAAAAAGAACTGGAACATTAAAACAAAACAAAACAAAAAAACACACTTATGAAATACGACATGTATAGTAAATATGTGTTATGAAAAAGAATTTAAAGGAAGAAAAGAATACTGATCCCTGAGCTTTTCCCCAAAACAATGAATCTGTATGTAGTCCAGACTGGCCTTGAACTCACAGCTACTCTGCTGCATCAGCCTTTCAAGTACTGGGATTACAGGCATGAGCCTCCGAGCCCAGCTCCCTTCTAATGTTTTTAAATGAATATGTACTGTCCTGTGTACTGTGTGCATTTCTGTATACAATGTTGTTTTGACATCTTGATTAACCTTCTGGCTAAAGATTGTGCCCCTTCCCCCAGGGCTAGTCAATTCTTAGAGATAGCAAGGGCTGAGCCCAAAGCTATATGTTAGCCAGCTTCCATCACTGAACCATGATAACCATGATAAACTCAGATAAACAACTTGGAAGTTTGTTTTGGCTCATATTTCTGGACCACAATCATTTAGCCCATTGCTTTAGGGCTGGTAGCAAGTCAAAATATCAGGACAAGGGAACAGAGGGTGGAGAAAAAGCTCATCACCTCATGATAAACAGGAAGGAAAGAGAGGCAAAGGAAAGGAGCAGGATCCCAATATCCCTCTCAATAATCTAACTTCCTTCCACTACATCAGCGGTTCTCAAACTGGGTCTCAATCCCTTTCACAAGGGTCACATATCAGATTTGTAACAGTAGCAAAATCACAGTTATGAAGCAGCAACGGAAATAATTTTTATGGTTGGGGGTCACCACAACATGAGGAACTATAATCAAAGGCTGAAGCATTAGGAAGGTTGAGAACCACTGCACTAGACCCTACCACCTACGAGCTCTATTACCTCCCAATGGTGCCACAAGCTAAGAACAAGCTTTTGACACGTGGGCCTTCAGGAACGTTCCCAGATCTAAACAACAACTCTGGAGAATAAAACAACCATTTTAGATCATACTTCCTGGAACTGCCATGAATATCCAGAAAGGCAATATTCTTCTACCTTTAGTATCCCAGGGCCAGGTAGCAGCCAACTAGAGATGACCCCTATAGCTCAAAGCCTGCCAAAACTGCTCAAAGGAGTCAATCATAAACTGTTGTCCTTTCCCTGCCTTTCTTGAGGAAAACCCAATAAAGAACACTGCCCAAACCTTTCCCTTACATCTGCCTTCTGCCTCCCGATTATTCTGGTGTCTTCCCTATATGGACTGTGGCATATCTCCTATTCTAACACTGTGAATGTATAATATGTTGTGCTCTGGAACTTCCATGTCTCTTCTTGGTGCTGCACATGAGTATCTCCAAAAACAATGCACAGCATTCGCGGGGAGTAGTGGCACACATCCATAATATAATTTAATATAATTTGAGGGGTAAAGATCAGCCTTAGCTACATAAGGAGTTTGAGGCCAGCCTGGGCTAAGTGAAACCTTGATTCAAAACACCAACAAAAACTAGTTGGAAGTGTACCTCTATTGATAGAGTGTTTGCTTAGCACAGGCAAAGTCCTGGGTTCAATTCTCCAGCATGACATAAAAATTGCATATGGGGGGCTGGAGAGATGGCTCAGAGGTTAAGAGCACTGACTGCTCTTCCAGAGGTCCTGAGTTCAATTCCCAGCAACCACATGGTGGCTCACAGCCGTCTGTAATTAGATCTGGTGTCCTCTTCTGGCCTGCAGTCATACATGCTGTATACATAATAAATAAATAAATCTTTAAAAAAATTGCATATGGTTGTACACATGTGTAATTGAAGCAAAACTCAGGAGATAGAGGCAAGATGATCAGAAGCTCAAGGTCATTCTTGGTTGCATTGTGTGTTGGAGGACAACCTGGAATACATGACATCCTGTGGTGGTTTGAATGATAATGCCCCCCATAGGCTCATATATTTGCATGCTTAGTCCCCAGTTGATAAACTGTTTGGAAGGATTAAGAGGTGCAGCCTTCAGGACCCAGAGGCTGGACAGCCCGGAGACCTAAGGTAGAACCAAAGATGACTGGGAAAAAAAAAATCAATGAAATGGCATCTAATGATATTCTGCTGTACTTGCCTAGCTCAATTATCATCAGAGAGGCTTCACCCAGCAACTGACGGAAACACATGCAGAGACATATCACCAAACATTAGGCAGACCTTGGAAAATCCTATGGGAGAGGGGAAGGAAGGACAACTCCAGAATTGAAAGGTTCAAGGACTAGAGATGAGTGAATATAGTTAGTTCCAATATCTACTTTATTATAGTACATAGTGGATTACTATAGACTTCTGGCACTGTCTTCACCCATAATACTCAGCACAATCATAAGTATTCAAGCCCTACTTTGAGAATTTCTTAACCCCTCTGGGTATCTCTACTGAACAATTCTTCTACAGGTAAAAGATAAATGGTATTATTACTCCTAGAGATAACCATATTTTCCTTTTTAAAAAAAATTTAAATTATGTGTATTTACATGTGGGGGAGTGTGGGTTTATACATGTGAGTGCAGTGTCCATGGAGATCCAAAGAGGGCACTGGATCCCCTGAACCTACAGCTACAGGCAGTTCTGAGCAGTCTGACATGGATACTAGGAATCAAACTCAAGCCTTCTGGAGAGCAGCATGTGCTTGTGAATACTGAGCCATTTCTCCTGCCCTGGACATAACTACATTGTCAAAGGATATTCTAGGGTTGGGGATTTAGAGTGCTTGCCTAGCAAGCCCAAGGCCCTGGGTTCGATCCTCAGCTCAAAAAAAAAAAAAAATCAAAGGACATTCTCGAAGTGTCAAAGTCTAGAAACCCCAACTATCCTATAATCACTACACAACTTTGTCTATTTTGTGTGTGTATAATGTGTGTGGGGTGTGTGTGTGTGTGTGTGTGTGTGTGTGTGTGTGTGTGTGTCTATGATTACACTTGTGGAGGCCAGAGGTTGATATCATGTTCCAACTCCCTTTTTGGAGACAGGGTCTCTCACGGAACCTGGAGTACACTTATTAGCTAGATTGGCTGGTCAGGAAAGCTCCCAGGATCCCCGCCTCCACTTCCCAGCCCTGCAAGAGCAGCCGTGTGCCACTATGACCTGTTATTTGTATGTGAATGCTGGAGTTGCAAACTCAGGCACTTGTACATGTGCAATAAGCACTTTATCCACTTAGCAATCTCCCTAGGCCCTGATTTTGCTTTGTAAAAAGTCCAAGGAGTTAGGGGCATTCAAAGCTAGGCAAATATGGGTAATCCCAAAGGAATACGACAAGCTATAGTTCAATCTGCCTCAGAGGAGGCGGCCAGCTATGTTCTTCTTGCTCAGAACACAAAGACTGCTTCCCCTGATGATACATCCTTGGGCTCCAATGCAGCAACATGCCAAACCTGGACGTCTCTGAAACGTCATCCTTACAAGCCTGCAGTCTCCTAGTCTTCTCGAGTGAAGAGGAGTACCAGCTCACAGTGTGGGGTGTGGGGAAACAAATCCACAGGTACAGCTTGTCTCAGGACAAAAGGTTCACCGAGGAGCTTCTTAGCAGAGTTTGGAGGACAGCATAGCCTGCAGAAATAGACCATAACATCAGCTCACAAAAACAAAGAGAGGAAACTACCAGAACTCAGCTGCTTACAATTGAAGTCCTTCCTCTGTAGTCACACAGGCCGGCCCAGGGGTCTCTCATCTCCACTGCTCATTATTTTCATGTAACTGTTTTGCTTATCCATCTTCCTCACTGGAGTACAAAGGTTCAACTTACAGTGAGGTTATGGCCCAACACAAGCATCATAAGCCATAAACATTAAATCATAATGTATCTAAAGGACTGCAAACATGCTTTCGTTGACAAGGCTTCTGAGTTCAATGCCCAGAATCCATGTCAGAATGTAAAGTGTGTTGGCATATGCTTGTTGTAATCCAGTTCTAGGGATGCAAAACCAGGCAGATCCCTGGGGCTCAGTGGCAGCCAACCTAGCCTACCAGGTGAAATCCAGGCTAGTGAGAGACTCTGTCTCAAAACACAAGGCAGATGGTTCCTAAGAAACAACACCTTTAGGTTGTCCTTCGGCACATGCACACATGTGCTGCACACACGCATGCACATAAAAATGTATCCAATTAGCTAGAGATAAATCTCAGTCTCTGATTTAGAGCACATGATTAGCATGTACAAATTTCTGGATTTGAACCCAGTGCATGTGCATACACGTATACACATACCAGATATATAATTTATATATCTGTAATATATAGTATCAAACATCACAGCTTACATTCACAAAACCCTAAGACATGTACCCACCATTAAACTCTTCTAAAAAGGTTGTATCAATTTATACCCATTCTTTTATACTTTTGCACTCAGACTTTTTCTACCATATGTACATAGTATCTTATAGATTTAAACTGTCTTGCCTTTTTGAGGCCATGTTTAGAAATTTTCTCAGTGTGCTAGCTTAATTCTAGGTTTCATTTTAACCACTGCATTTTAAAATTCATTGTTATTAAATATAATGTATAATATAATGAATTCTTTCATCTGAGTCAAAATGAAATAGCATTAAAAGGTACACAAGGTAATTAATTTACTTTCCCATCTCTCATATGTCCCCAGTTCTTTCTTTCTAAAATACTTTTTAGATTTATTTAATGTTTATGTGTATGAGTGCTTTGCCTGTATGTATGTATGCGCACCACATGCATGCCTGGTGCCCGAGGAAGTCAGAAGAGGGCATCGGGTCCCCAGAAATTGGAGTTGCCCATGGTTACGAACCAGCATGTGGGTACTGGAAACCAAAGCCAAGTCTGTAAGAGCATCACGTACTCTCAACCCTTTAGCCAGCTCTACAGCCCTCTCCCCAGCTCTTTCTAGACAGAGAAAATTGTTACTGGGCTCTGTTTCTGAAGGGGGTCCTTCTGTTAAGTAATTTTCAAAGGTAACATACAAAGTGGTATTTTTATACAGATATATCATATATCATTTACTTTCCTCCTCCTCTACCCTACCCTGTGCTTCCTGCCTCTCTGACTGAGTTCCTTCCTTCCCCCAGGGACTCCCCTCTTCTGCTTATCACAGTCCCTTAAGATTGCCTTGCTGTTTTATGACCTAGACAGAAACACACACATTTGTGCACAAATATTTATAATGCAGGTTCCATGTACAAGAGCAAACATTTGGCATTTGTCTTCCTAAGATTGGCTTATTTCGCTTATCAGAATGATGTCCAGTTCATCAAATTTCCTGCAAATATGACTTCATTTTTCAAGATTGACTTTTTCATCATGTATGTAAGCATGCATGCGCATGCGCATGCGCATGTGAAGGGTTGTCCATGGAAGCCAGAGGTGCTGGATGCTAGTGGAGCCTGAATCACAGGGTGCAGTGATGAGACTCAGTTCCTCTGCAAAAGCAGTACATTCTTGTTAAGTGCAGAGCCACCTCTCTAGCTCAGTTTCATTTTTCTTGTTATCAGTGTCTCATATAACTGACCAGGGGCTCTCTATGAAAATAGAAGCAAACAAAATACATGCCCTTCTCATCCTTTAAAGTAATCTATTATATGGACAATTCTATAGCTTACTAGTTCTACTTAGTTACAACATTATCTTAGAACTTAAATCAAAAGCCACAATGCATTGATCCACGCATTGTAGTGCACACCTTTAATCCCAGCACTCGGAGGCAGAGGCAGGAAGATCTCTGTGAGTTCAAGGCCAGCCTAGTCTACAGAGTGAGTTCCAGGACAGCCAGGACTGCTACACAGAGAGACCATGTCTCTAAAAGACAGAAGGGGAAGGAGGAAGAGGAGGGGAAGGGAGAGGAGGAAGAGGAGGAATGGAAGGAGGAGGAATTGAGGATGTAGCTTAGCAGCCGTAGAATATTCTAATTCACTGGCTTGTATGAGGTCCTGCATTTGATGTCTAGCAATATTCATGAACACAAACAGAGACATACACACAGGAAGCAAAGAGAGAACAAGCAGAAAGGGAGGAATGTTTTTCAATTCATATACTTGACAAGGGACTTCTATCAGACACACAGAAGAATTCTAAAAATTCAACAGTAAAAAGTCAACCCAGTTAAAGACTATCGAGGACTATGGGGGGTCCAGCCCCTCAATAGTCCCCTCTCAGGGTCCGCGGAAGGCTCTATCAACCAGCTGAGGATCTATTCTTTAGGGTCGGTAAATCAGTCTACGCACGCCGAGTTCGTTGGTCCATTCGCTTTAATTCCTCTGGCATAACATCCTTTATACACAGCTTTAGTTCTGTTCTCATGTCTAGCTCCTTTCTTGCCTGATTTTTCTATATTTATCTACTGTCCCCTCTAAGTTCTACCTTAATTCCTTCATCTAGTTCTGTCCCTTCTAGGTTCTCATCTATCTAGTTCTTTCCCCTATCAGCTCCTCTCCCGTCTCCTTCTCTCTCATCTGGCTCTTCTTCATCTTGTTCTTCCCCATCTGGCTCTTCCTCATCTTCTATCTCTTTCCTCTAGTCCTCTCTTTTAGCTCTTTAATCTAGTTCTTCCCCATCTCAGTTCGTTCCTCTCAAGTTCTTACCCATCTAGTTCTTCCATTCTCTTCTCTCTTCTCTGTCCTCTCCTGCCCTGGGAATTCTGGTATATATATACTTACAAGCAGTATTTCCTTAGCAGTGCAAAGCCAGGCTTCCAGGGTCAAATGGAGGGGTGATAAGAATAGGCTTAATTGACACATCCGCCAGGCCTTCTCAACCAGGTAACCTGGATGCTTAAGTCTGTTCTTAGAGAGTACAGAGGTATCTCTGATAAGGTACTTTCCTCCATCCGGTGATGGGCCTGGCCGGATGCTACCAATAATGATAATTACAGGGAGGCTTGAACTGGGAGCTCTGGCTGAGCATAGCTGTTAGCACAGAAGGTTATCTAAAAATTCCTAGAAGTGGTTAGGTAAGTAGTTAGAGGTCTATAAAGTTAGTAAGGCTGTAAGAAAGGAGGG